CTAGTAGGGCTAGTAGGTTTGATCTCTTGTAAACATTTTTTGCCTGTCTCTCGTCAGGAGCCTGCTATTCATTGGTAGTCGTTGGTTGCTATCTGCAGCAGGGGCGGATCCAGGATTTTGGAAAGAGGGGGCGTAGTATGTAAAATTGTTTTGGACCTTTTTTGGGCTACAAAACATAAAATAAGTGTAAAATGCACATTTTTAGTGACGGTTCCTAACGTGGGGTATGTGTATTTTATAGTTAAAGTGTAAGCTTGGGTTGGACATTTTTGATGCCGCATTCTCCCCATTAGTTGTCTATTATAAAATGATTGAATGGATCTAAAGCTATGTACTAATACATTTGATGTGGGATTTGTCAGAAAAAAATGGACATGGAAAATTCTTGTTTTTTTGTATGGTTAGTTAGCATAACCTCACAGATTACTTGTTGTAAACATGATATACGACTATTCAATGAAGTTTATAATACGACCGACACGAACAAAGACAAACAAGCAATTTTTATCCAAAGGTTTGGATGAAATGTGGGGAACAACAAGGGAAGTGAGGGGTTCCAAATCAACCAACGGCTACGAATGAGTCTGAAAATCAAATGACAACGAAGTTGTGAATGACGGTCGACAAATGGAGACATAAAGGCCACACACAGCAGGCAGGTTGCAGTTGGACCTTGAAAAAAGTATTCAGTATATCAGTTCGGCGAAACAGACATTCCGGTCAGATATGGGATTTACATGCAAACCCCCCCAAAAAAATTACGCCCGTCATTTATTCACCATGTTCCTTTAATGCTGAATAATTCTGTTGGATTTTTTTTTCTTATAGCAAAAAAGGGGACACGATAATTGTTTTCATTACAGATGCGGCCAGAATTGTTGTTTAAGGCAAAAATCAGGGTCAGTATTTTTTCTCTAAAATATCTCAGACTGCCCTATCAAATCAAATGGTCATTACCTTAGACTTTAAATATATCTAGAGCTTACTGACTGGGGGTCATTATTCAGCAATGTAATTAATTGGCTGGGGCGTGTGGGGTTGAACATATTTTCGTAGGTAAATACTATTGCCGTGGAACTTTTTTTTTCATGAGAGTGTAATAGAGTATTAATTTCTGTTGAGTGGGAATATGAAATAGAAGTCAATACGTTCTTGCTCAATCCTTTGTCGCTTTGAAGGCGTCATGCTTGTCATCCTCCGCCTAAGCAATGTGTTACTGTAATTTGAATTTCAAAATGACTGAGTGACGTTTCAAACGTACTGATCAACTCCACCGTAGCGAAACACATGACTGACATAATAATATATTACAGTAAATTCGAGCGAAAAATATCTTTATAAGTAAAGAATTGTCGCATAAAAATTAAATACACGACCGGGAAATGGCAAAGTTCACGAAGTCTAGTCTGATTCATCATTTTACAAAATACGCCCTCTACGCCCCCCCCCCTCTGGATCCGCCAGTGTGCAGTATACTTATTTTTTAGTTTATTGTTTTAGCCTAAATCAGACATACTCATTTTATTCGTTTTAAACATTTGTAGATATTTTGAAGATTGTATGATAACCAATAGTAGCTTACATCTGGTATCATTATTTTGGTGTATAGTTGTCTCATTGGAAATTATACCACAACTCCTTATTTTAGCTCACCTGACCCAAAACATGACAAGAATTACACTTAAGGCAAGGCCGAAATTGTTGGTTAACTCGGTAAAGGAGTTATTGCCCCTAATTGATGATTTTTATCAATTTTTGTTTTTCGTCTTAATTTTGAAAACTATAATGGACAAGATCTACAAAATGATCAGCAAAACAATATCTACAAATATTTCAACAAAGGCAAAATTGTAAGTAAACTAGAAGTAGAAGTAGAAGAATCATCATATGTTAATTCACTCATATTTAAAAAAAATTGAGACAAACTTCATGGAAGTTATTGACAAGTATATACCTATGAAAAAAAAATTATAACAAAAATACATGTTTACAATTTCTATTTATATTATTATTGATAAATAAAATATTGCATCAGTAATGGATCTACGGCTTCAAGTGATCTCAAGTGGGGGAAGTTGTTTGTGACTGCATGGAACTTTATTTGGATATGCCTGTTATGGTCTCATCGACAGTTACCACACCTTCACTCGATTTCAACACATTGCTCATATCCTTTATTTAACAAGTTAGTAAATTTACTTCAGATTAGAATACTTTCCTGGAAATAAGGATTGAGCCAAGCAGAGCGAGGAAAAAAAATGACGTCTTCATGCCAAAAAAATATATTTTTGCTAACAATTTGTTTTTTTCGTCAGATATTCAAATCATTCGTTTTTATTTACTTTTGGTGCAAATAATTTATTCATTTTTTCAATATTCTAAAGCAAATGTTTTTTTTTCTCAAAAAATCAGAAGTACTCCATCATGTTGTTGCAACCTCAAGGTATGCATATGAATCTGTCACACTGTGATTTGAGTGAAGTTTGGAAGGCTTTTAAAATGACTGGTATAGAATAAATTCAAAAGGAATTTGACCAACTTAATTAGTAAATTTTGCAATGTTGTATTAAACAAATTCAAAGGGAGTTGGCTTAACCTCTTTCCCATCACAGTCGGTCCACTTAACATTGATTTTTCTATCAATATGTTTGCGTCCAGCCTAGATATTTATGTAATTCTTGCCACTGAAGGTTAATCAAACAAGAAACTATCAATCTCATCATGATGTATACATGGTAGTATGTTAATTTGGAAACTTTTTACTTGTATCATACTTTGATATTTTGATATCATGCCAAACAATCTCCATGAGATTTGCCAATGCTAATACAACTGCATACCAAATATCATGACCTACCACTACTTTTGTATTAAAGCCAGTATTGGTATCCACAACGTACTCATAGACAGACACTAGTGGTTCCTCATAAACAGACCTAATCACATACTAATACATGTAAACTAAGTAAAAGTTTCAAAGTCAGTAGGCCATGACTGAGGGGGAATGGCCAAATAATCTCCATTGAACTGAGATGTGCAAATGCAAAAAAAAAAACTGCATAGCAAATATCATTGACATACCACTAGTGGTTCCCCATAAACTGACCTAATCACAAACCAATACATGTAAACTAAGCAAAAGTTTCAGTAAATAGACCATGACTGAGGGGGAATGGCCAAATAATCGCCATGGACATGAGATGTGTCAATGCTAATACAACTGCATACCAAATATCATCGACCTACCACTAGTGGTTCCCCATAAACTGACCTAATCACAAACTAATACATGTAAGCTAAGCATTGTTTCAAACAGTATACCTATGTATCACTTTTGACTCCCTCATGGCGAGACAAATAGAACATAGGTGTAGAATGCAAGTTTTGTCTATCTTGATAACAGCTATACATAGAAAAATATGACAGGAGCAAAAATGTTTATAATGTTGAGATCAACCTACTGTCCATTTACATCAAAACTTCTTAAAGGAGTTATTGCCCTTAAAAAAAATTTTACAATTTTTTTTCATTTTTTGCCTTATATCTTATAGTTAATATTAGATAGTGATTCTTTGAGTTGCAACAATGATCAGCAAGACAAGATCTACCAATAAGTCAACATGGACGAAATCGTGAGACGACTCCTTGTTGGAGTTATTGCCTTTAATAACTACTTTTACTATTTTTTTGCCTAATATCTTAAAAACCACAATAGATAGATGGAAACTTTAAAAAGTAAAAATGATCGGCAAGACATGAACTACAAATAAGCCAAGAAGGCGGAAATCTTCAGTTGAATCCTTATTGAAGTTATTGCCCTTTCATGACGATTTAAATATTTTTTTTTTTTAGTTTTTGACTCATACCTTAAAAACTATAGATATATGGAAACTTTTAAAAGTAAAAATGACAAGAAAAGATCTACAAGTAAGTCAAATATTGCTGAAATTTTTAGTTGACTCTTTATAGGAGTTATTGCCCTTAAATGACAATGTTTCGCCCTTTTTTTGTGTTTAGAGCAAACACTTCAGGGCATACGATACAGTATTGATCCCATAGGGATTTTTTTACGAAAATTTGCATACAAGCTATTTTTCACCTAGTCAATTCAAATATGTAATTAAAAATATACTTTCATGTGCTACTTTAAGAGATAAATGGGGTCGAAATTTTAGACATTTACTCAAAATTTCGGTTTATTGGACATTTCTTTCTTTTGGATAGACATACCTAACTTTTTGTTTCAAAAGATAAACACAAGCGGAATGTTGTAAAAACATTTGGAAAACCTTCTTTACATAAGTATGCTATAAATTTTTATAACAATTCTTTGGAAATAATTAATTTTTATCAAAGCTTCATATTTTTAGAAAAAAAGGCATTTTTTGCTGTATATTTATCTAATTTTTAAAAAATCAGTTGAAAAATGCATCTTTTCCCGATATGTCACAGTTTGACGTCGCGAAAAATATTCACGTTAGCAACGTCATTACCTCCCATGTAACTGTATCGTATGCCCTTAAGAAGATAGAAAAGAATTGTAAACAGAAAAAATATCAGCAATACAAGATCAACAAACTAGAGAGCCTGTGTCATTCACCTAGGTCTATGTTCATCTTCAACAACTGGAACCCCCCTCCCCCCCTTTTTATGCCCCCACTGTAGGTTTATAGCATCACATCATGATCCATAACACAATCTACCGATATAAGAAAATCAATTCAGTTAGCATTACATTCAAGAAATATATATAGCATCACATTAACATGATGCTAAAAGGGTATGTGGAGACACAGCTAAAACATTAAGCTAGTCTTTCAGGCTAGTGGTCAATTACACAAAAATACTCGTTTTTCCCCGTCTATCTGTCTGACCGCAAAACAATCTGTATTTTAGACATTTACCCTTCTATAAGCTGGATTAACACTTCATGCAACCACACACTAATTTTGTTAATGCTTATTTCAATGATTTGGGTATATTTACAACAACAACTCAACTCTCTGATCAATGCACCATTAATTGAAGTCATTGACCTTATTATTTATATCATTAAAAAAAAAAGACTAATATGGCAACAACATAACAATTTGGAACAAGAATTTAAAGATAACTTTGAGATTATTATTTTTTCACCAAATTTACATACATTCTTTACAACAGATTATACCCATTTTTTAACATTCAATCATTAAATAAAATGCTTCGCTGGGGCGCAGCTTGATACGACCGCAGAGGTCGAACCCTGAACAGTTGGGGCAAGTATGGACACAACATTCAAGCTTGATACAGCTCTGAATTTGGATTGTGATTAAATATTTGACACAGCATAGGTTTCTGACACAGAAAGAATGTGGTCCAAGAACTTGAATTTTTTTAATTTACGTATTATGGTCCAATGTCCAAAATCAAAATACATGGTTAGATTCAGCATATCAAAGAACCCCATATATTCAATTTTTGTTAAAATCAAACAAAGTTTAATTTTGGACCCCAACTTGGACAAACTTGAAAACTGGGCCCATAATCAAAAATCTAAACACATGTTTAGATTCAGCATATCAAATAACCCTAAGAATTCAATTTTTGCTAAAATCAAACTAAGTTTAATTTTGGACCCTTTGGACCTTAATGTAGACCAGTTTAAAAAACGGGACTTAAAATTAAAAATCTAAATACACGGTTAGATTTGGAATATCAAAGAACCCCAATAATTCAATTTTTGATGAAATCAAACAAAGTTTAATTTTGGACCCTTTTGACCTCAATATGAACCAACTTGATAGCGGGGCCCACAAATAAAAAATCTAAATTCATGGTTAGATTCAGCATATCAAAGAACCCCATATATTCAATTTTTGTTGAAATCAAAAAAAGTTTAATTTTAGACCCCAACTTGGACCAACTTGAAAACTGGGCCCATAATAAAAATCTAGACACATGTTTAGATTCAGCATATCAAAGAACCCCAAGAATTCAATTTTTGTTAAAATCAAACTAAGTTTAATTTTGGACCCTTTGGACCTCAATGAAGACCAATTTAAAAAACGGGACCCAAATTAAAAATCTAAAAACACGGTTAGATATGGCATATCAAAGAACCCCAATAATTCAATTTTTGATAAAATCAAACAAAGTTTAATTTTGGACCCTTTTGACCTCAATATGAACCAATTTGATAGCGGGGCCTACAAATAAAAAATCTAAATACATGGTTAGATTCAGCATATCAAAGAACCTCATATATTCAATTTTTGTTGAAATCAAACAAAGTTTAATTTTGGACCCCAATTTGGACCAACTTGAAAACTGGGCCCATAATCAAAAATCTAAATACATGTTTAGATTCAGCATATCAAAGAACCCCATATATTCAATTTTTGTTGAAATCAAACAAAGTTAAAATACTGGACCCTATCTTGGACCAACTTGAAAACTGGGCCCATAATCAAAAATCTAAACACATGTTTAGATTCAGCATATCAAAGAACCCCAAGAATTCAATTTTTGTTAAAATCAAACTAAGTTTAATTTTGGACCCTTTGGACCTTAATGTAGACCAATTTCAAAAACAGGACCCAAAATTAAAAATCTAAATACACAGTTAGATTTGGAATATCAAAGAACCCCAATAATTCAATTTTAGATGAAATCAAACAAAGTTTAATTTTGGACCCTTTTGACCTCAATATGAACCAATTTGATAACGGGGTCCACAAATAAAAAATCTAAATACATGGTTAGATTCAGCATATCAAGGAACCCCATATATTCAATTTTTGTTGCAATCAAACAAAGTTCAATTTTGGACCCCAATTTGGACCAACTTGAAAACTGGGCCAAAAATCAAAAATCTAAATACATGTTTATATTCAGCATATCAAAGAACCTCATATATTCAATTTTTGCTAAAATCAAACAAAGTTTAATTTTGGACCCTTTGGACCTTAATGTAGACCAATTTGAAAACTGGACCCAAAATTAAAAATCTAAATACACTGTTGGATTCGGCATAACAAATAAATAAATGTGATCAAAGATTTTACAAATTTAATGCGCCATACTGTGCAATTAAAGATTTCTTCTTGAAATTTTTCAATATTTGAAATTTGAAAAAAAAATAATATTTGAAGAATAATTTTTTTAATTTCTGAAATCTGAAATGAGAAAAAAATGACCCCCCACAATTTCTTTTTATCCCCCCCCCCCTTTTTTCCCCCAAAAAATTCTTTCCCTCAAGATATGGTCATAATCTCAATTCAAATTTCCAATGGAATAATTACCCATTTAAATTTACCATAGTGCTAACTTAATCTATTTTATAATAGAATTAAAAATATAGTGTCAAATCTTTCATATGGATTTTTTTGTAAAAAAAAAAGATGCAACATTTGCAGATATTTTTACTGGTCTTCCTTTATAAATATGCATTTCTTTAAACATAATTTAAAAGCAGTGTAAGGGAAGTAACCAAAACGTTGTATTTTGATTACCTCCCTTACACTGTTTTAAATTATCTTTATTGTTCATTAACCATTACTTTATACATAATTTAAAAGCAGTGTAAGGGAGATAATTTCAATGATGTATTTGATTTATCTCCCTTACACTGCTTTAAATTATGTTTTGTACTAAAGTATTTGTCCATTAACCAGGACAACCTTGTTTTTCCCACTTTTTTGCCCCTAATTCCTAAACGGTTTGAGCCATAACCCCCCAAAGCAAATCCTAACCATCCCTTTGTGGTATGGAAACTTGTAGTATAATTTCAGAGCGATCCATACACCGTTCCACAGTTATTGTCTGGAAACTAGAAAATGCTTATTTTTGGCCCCTTTTTGGCCCCTAATTCCTTAACTGTTAGTACCATAACCCCCAAAATCAATCCCAACCTTCCTTTTGTGGTATTTAACCTTATGGTCAAATTTCAAAAAGATCCATTTACTTAAACTAAAGTTAGAGTGCGAAAACCAATGTGTATTCGGACGACGACGCCGGACGACGACGACGTTGGATGACGACGACGACGACGCCAACGTCATACCAATATACGACCACAAAATTTTTTTGCGGTCATATAAAATGCAATGGAAACAGTTTAATAATAGAAAATTGAGGATGCAGGAGTCGTTTATTTTCATTATGTTTGTCTGTCCACCTGCTTGTCCATCAACAAATTTTGTAACTGCAAAATCTCAAAAGTAATGACGTTGAAATTTAAGACAGTTGTTGAGTATGAGATTACGTAGATGTGCATATTCTATTTTTGAGAAAAAATTGAAAAATCAACTGGTGTCAAAAAATGGATTTTTGTGAAAAATTCAATAAACACAAGTTTTTGTTAAAAATAAATGGAGAGTGTGTCCCCATGGACACAGATGATGCCCCCGCTTGCATACAACATTATAAAGGGACATAACTCAAGAACAATAAAAGTGACGCTACCCAAATTTATACTTGATCTGAGTTTTGTGGTAATAAGTATTGTGTAAAGGTTTCATAATGTTTGGTTGGGGCAAACTCAAGTTACAGAAAGGAAACTAAAAATTTTGCAATTTTACCATTTATAAAGGGGCATAACTTGATAATGATTAAAGTGACGCCACCAAAATTCAACTTGATCAGTGTTTTGTGGTAAAAAGCATTGTGTATAAGTTTCATAACATTTGGTTGAGGCAACTTAAGTTAGAGAACAGAAACTAAAAATTTTGCATTTTTTCCCATTTATAAAGGGGCATAACTCGAGAATGGTTAAAGTGACCCCACCAAAATTCAAACTTGATCTCTATTTTTATGGTAATACACATTGTGTATAAGTTTCATAACATTTGGTTGAGGCAAACTTAAGTTAGAGAACGGAAACTAAAAATTTTGTAATTTTTCCATTTATAAAGGGGCATAATTCTAGAACAGTTAGAGTGACGCTACCAAAATTCAAAATTGATCTGTATTTTGTAATAATAAGCATTGTGTATAAGTTTCATAACATTTGGTTGAGGCAAACTTAAGTTAAAGAACGGAAACTAAAAATTTTGTAATTTTTTTATTGATAAAGGGGCATAGATCTAGAACGGTTAGAGTGACGCTACCAAAATTCAAACTTGATCTGTATTTTGTGGTAATAAGCATTGTGTATAAGTTTCATAATATTTGGTTAAGACAAACTTAAGTTAAAGAACGGAAACTAAAAATTTTGCAATTTTTCCATTTATAAAGGGGCACAACTCTAGAACAGTTAGAGTGACGCTACCAAAATTCAAACTTGATCTGTATTTTGTGGTAATACGCATTGTGTATAAGTTTCATAACATTTGGTTGAAGCAAATTCAAGTTAGAGAACGGAAACCAATTTTGGGACATACGGACGTACGTACGTACAAGGGTAAAACGTAATGCCCCCTCCACTACGGCGGGGGGCATAAAAATTGTGATACAATGTTTATCTGCTATGATTTCAACAAAAATTGAATTACAGGTATGTTACTTTGTCCAAATTGATCTTTTGTGAAATTAATAAAACATTTGTGGTACATTTGTACATAATCATAATGTAAAAATTTAGACCGCCATTATATAGGCACGAGTACTGAAATTGGCATCAAACACCAACAGTCAATCAGTCCATAAAATCAAATTGATTCACAGTGAAAAAATTGATTTATGTGAAATTGCAAAAAAAAAGTGGTAAAAACATAGATTTTCATGATTTTGTTAAAGAATCTCAAATTTTGAATCATTATTTTTACAAGATTGCATTGCAAATAGAAAGTACCGGTATATATGAACAATGATCTACAATATGTTATTCCAAACTTATTACCAGTCATGCCAGTGTGAAATTTGCAGTAAAAAATTCATTATCTGAGTCTTAGACTCAGATTCTGAGAAATATGTTTGACTTTGCTTAGGATTTCAAGGAAAAAATTGATTATGGTAGACTGTACAATATGCTATTCCTAATTGATTTCCTGTGTCAAAAATTAACCGTCTGCCAACATACATAACATATCCTGAATTTTTACAAAGTGTCAAAACTTAAGAAAAATAAAAATATTAATTGTATCCAGTATTGAAAACAAGTTTTTTTTGATGCCTCACAAAAAGATTAGTTAATAAGCTGTGGCATTCCAGACATTCTCATTTTTTTAGTAATTTTATTATGTTTAAGTTAATATTCAGCACATCCAAGAAAAAATAACAAATATCTGTAACAATCCCCATTTACTGGGAGTCTCATTGGGGGGTTCTGATCCCGGATCCCGCTTACTGTTTTGTCAGATTCCCATATCCCGCTTACACTATGTACGTAAGCAATTCTCATTTTTTTGTAATTTATGTGTCCCGCTAGACTTCATTTCCCGTTTTCACGGCACAAAAATTTGACTTTCACGTGTCACGCTTACAAAAAATCGGCAATCCCGGGTCACACTTAGACCCCAATGAGACCCACTTTACTGTTTCTTGGCCTTAACCTAGAAGTCAATATTCAGTGTCTGTTCATCAAGTAGGCAACTCTAACTTAAGTTTGGTAAATGCAGCAATAAGCAACAACATTTTTGTATCAACAACTGACTAATAGAAACAGAGCCTATAACAATTTACGATCATACTTTTTAAAAATTTGATACCAAGGTATTTATAGCTTAATATTCACTGTTTTCAGGAGGAACAAGTTCATATTTATGAGTTGATCCACCTTCATTGATCAGATGGTCAAACAATTGGTTTGTTGTTCTCTTTCTACTTAATGTTAAATATCGATTATCTCCCTTTCCACGACTTTGAGATTTCAATCCAAGTCTCTGGCTTATTGTATGTATATATGCACGTTCTTCCTTTGTATAGTCCGATGTAAATGAAAGGTCTTCCTGCGCATCAGATTTTGCATAATCTTCCACAACCTTTCTAACTTTATTTCTGAAGTCTTTCATCCCATCACCTGAGTTAAGTCCAAGACCTTCGCGATTGATAATTTGCTGCAAAGAAACTGCAACTGGTTCTTCTCTTCCAATATTTCCCACTGCTCCTACACCACCACCACTCCAACCCATTTTACGAAGTAACTTGCTTCCAATATTATCATCAGATATTGTCTCCATTTGTTTCTGAATTTCTCCCATAACTGAATCTCTTGAAATACTATCATCACTTTGGCAATCAATACTTTGCTTAATTTTAATTGTCCAGCATATTTTTCTAAGTTCATTAATAGCTTTTAGTGCTGCAAGGGTTTTTACATGGACTTTACCTTCTTCAGAAGCTTCTGCAATTGTCTCACCTTCAATATCTACTGTGCAGTGCATGTTAACACCTTTTGCATCTAATTCATAATGGAATTCCAATAATGCTTTATTGATGTCACAACTCTGTCTCAAAATTGACAACGGATTACTTGTATTATCAATACTAACATTTTCAAAAATAATGAATTTTGTTATATCCCCATTTAAAGAATTTGCTAGTTGTCTGTTACCTTTACTCACAGCTTTAAAGTTTGATTCATACATCTCTGAATTATAAGAAGCTGAGTCATCATAATTTGAAGAGTCGTATGCAAAAGATTTTGATGCCTCAAAAGAATCTGGTTGTGTATTATGACTTACGAAGCTACATGGTAAATTGTATGCACTTCTTTGTTTGTCTAAATAATCATTGTTAGCTGTTTGTTTGGTAGTACATTCACTGTTAAATGATTGCCTTTGAACACTGTATTGTTTTAGTACTGGCCTGTCAGGAATAGACTGGTCAACACAAATATCCGTACTATGCAACTTTTCGACAGCTAAATCAAATGCTGTATGTTTAGCTGTTTTTTTATTTGTTGCCTTCCCTTCTGAAATCTCTACAAAGTCTACCGTCAGACTGCACACAAATGTATGTGCATATTGAGAACCCACAATATCTCTAAATTTAGTATCAAGAGACATTTTGGTTTTATCTACAGCCATCTGCAGAATCTCAATACTGTTTTTAGAACTTCCAAACTTTTTCTTCAGATCTGTTATAGCATTGGCTAATGTTCTGAACCTTATGTCTATATCTTTTATGCCAGTAATACTGTATTTAGGTGTCCCATATCCTAGTCCTGATCCTTTAGCTCTTTGAGTAGGAAATGGCTTCATATCACATACATGTACCAACGATTGATCAGATTTCTGTTGTGACTGTTCTTCATGCATAGCAACATCTGTACTTTTAAATTCTGAACTTGATTTTACAAAGTTCATACCAAACATAGGTACAATCTTTTTGGGAGGTGATGGTCCTGATAATGAACTACTATCTTGACTTATTTTGTCACTTGATTTTACAAATTTTACAGTTTCAATGCCTTTGATTCGACTAGGAAGATTTGTGACATCTGAGATGTCATCTTCTCCTAGGTCTTTTGCCAACTCATTCAGTTGTTTCATCACCTCTGTTGGGTAGCTGCATCCCATCTGCCTGACATTCACATAACAGAGAGATAAACATATCAAACGATCCTCATCAAATTTGTTAACATGTTCTACAAGGAACTTTTTTCTAATTTTCCACTCTGTATTACTTTCAAATGGGGATCTTAATCTCTCAACATCAATTTCCTTAGTGCTAGAAAACATTTTCATGTATCTGAAAAAACAAAGTAATAGAATTTATATTCTTTGGCTTTTAACACAGGCATACAGTTGTGTAGGTTCTGTTTAGACAGTCATGACAGTTGTCTATTTTAAATAAATAAAGGAAAGACAAAAAATAATACAAAGAAAATTCAAACTTGATCTGTGTTTTGTGGTAATGAGCATTGTGTATAAGTTTCATAACATTTGGTTGAGACAAACTAAAGTTAGAGAACGGAAACGAAAAATTCCAGCAATATTTCCATTTGTAAAGGGGCATAACTCTAGAATCGTAAAAGTGACACCACCAAAATTCAAACTTGACCTGTGTTTTGTGGTAAGAAGCATTGTGTATAAGTTTCATAACATTTGGTTGCGGCAAACTAAAGTTAGAAAACGGAAACCAATTTTGGGACGTACGGACGTACGTACAGATGGACAAGGGTAAAACTTAATGCCCCCTCCACTATGGTGGTGGCATAAAAATTAATCTTCTAACAATTCTTTAAAATTTTTTCCATTTTTTGGTTTAGAGTTTTCCTTATCATTGCTAATGAAGATGAATCAAGAAAAGTGACTGTGATGCACCAAGTTTATTTTATTTACTAGCACCAAGTTGATGCTGTTGCTGTTAGATTGTTAGTGCCTGAGAGTATCGATAGCCAAGTATAGACAGTGCTTTGAGCTTCATGTGATTCATAGCTTATATGTTTTTTTCATTTTTATGTTAATTAGGGTGAAATAGCAAGAAACTAAGGTTCCAACTCAATAAGGGAAGTTTGATCGATGTCAAGTGGTAATGTGTATTATAAAACCATGTTTACCTTCAACAATTGACTTCAAAAGACTTACCAGTATATTAATAAAACAACACATTACAAACAATATTTTACTGTTATTAACACAAATAAACCAATTTTAGGCCATCAGACTCTTTCATGTCTACCATATTTCTACAAACTCTGTTCAGTATAACTGGGTTTTAAGCGTTCTTGGTGTAGGTTAACAGGTTAATGTAGCAGTGCTTCCCTTACCTAGTATATATAAAACAGCCTGTGCTAGTGGAGTACTCTTTTAGCTCAGTTGATAGCGCTCTCCAGTAACATGATTAGTGCCTAACAAAAAATCCAACTGTTAGAATAATACCAAGCCAGGGGAAGTGAAGAAGATATTTCATTGTATTATAATGACTCTTGATGTGGGGGAAGTGTAGTGGATTCTCAATACCTAGTACATATGTAGATACATATAACTAACCTCCAGTAGCTGCACTAGTGTCTGAGTACTCATTAAGTGCAGTTTGTAGGGAGTGCCTTTTTAAGCATATTTGGTGGCATTTTCCTTTGATCTATTGTTATTTCTCTTTGATTTTAACAATTTTTGACAAATCTCAAGCATTTGCTTCATGAAAACTTGACAGCCCTAGGTAGGGCGGTGACTTAGTGTGCCAGGGGTTCCAGGTTCAAATCCCGACTAGTGTAGGAACTAATTAAGGAAGGCAAATCATTCTCTCTGGTTACAAATAAAACAAACATGCATCATTAATTGCCATCAATAAGCTTCTGTTGCGGGTCTCACCTATTAGCAACAAGAAGCATCAAGAAGCGACATAAAGAATAATTTAGCGACAAGAAGAATAATTTAGCAACAAGAAGACTAATTTAGCGACAAGAAAACAATTTTAGCGTCAAAATATCTAAATCAGGGGCGTAGCTAGGCCAATATAATGTGTACTCAATGCCGGAGCAGGAATTGAAACTGTAAGGGGTTTGGGGGGCGCTGAAGGCCCCCAGAAGCTCTGGGTAAATGGTAAAATCCTGCATTCTCGCAATTTCCTGGGACTTAAAATGAACTCACCGAAATCTTATTTTCATGAGTAACAAGTCAACTTTTGAAAAAAAAAATGAATATTGATTAGAGAAAAAAAAAACAAGTACTGTTGGCACAGTTGGCTTAGGAATTTGAATTTTCTAATGTGTAGTGGGTTGAGCTTGATTAAATTAAATTAAAAATGTCATATCATTAAATGATATTCGTTGCTAGTTAGTTAAGGTTAAAAGGGGTGGTAAAGGGTGGTATCTGCATGGAAAAAACGTTAAATGCAAAGAAGTAAAAACAATTTCAATGTGAACGTGAAATAATTTTGTCCATGAACGTTGATAAAAAAAGTACTATATAACGAACGCATGTCATAGGTTGGAAACCTTTACATGTAACTGGCAAATATATAATATTTACGTTTTTAAGTCCTGAAATCTATAAGGAAAATGATCAAATTATTTCCGATTTCTTTTTATTAACTTCCAAAACGATAGTCTTTTAATTTTACCAAGCACGGAAAACAAGGACTTTAAATCTCAAAGCATGGAAAATAAGCACTTTTAATCTCGAAGCACGTATAACTAAGTTAGGGGAACACTTTGAACGAGGCACCCGTCTTGCACAACTGAACGTACAAATAAAAAAAAAGTAAAAACTTGTTGATCGTCACTTTAAATTTAAAAAGACGGCAAGCACGATGCACGAAAATTACCCTTTACCAACCTAATGTTAAACTTAATTCTGACTGGACTGTTTAAAAAAATCTGTTATGACGACGTAATATAATTAAGGTAGATGGGGTGTCTAAATTATAATCCATAGAATTTTTTAATAATTTGCCAAAATGTAGTTTATATCATGCTTTTTTGAAAAAAATAATAAAAAGAATGGGTCACGGGGCTTATTTTCACGCTACAGGTTGTGCAAAATTGACAGATTTTGTATAGATTATGCATGGAAAACGCAATTTTCTGCCATAAAACGAAAACTACACCATAGAATTTTGAGATAAAATATGAGAAGATAGCTCCAATATTATACTTTCAGATAATAAAAAGAAAAAATGGGGTCACCGGGCCCGTTTTCTTACTACATAATAAAATAGATAAATTCCTAACACATTCTATTGTAAAAGTCACTTTATCTGAATTATCTGCCCTTACATTTGAGTTGCCTCCCCTTATGTGGCAAAGTTGGAAAAAATTTAATCAAACAAAAGTATTCTGTTTTTTGTAAAATACAACCATAAATATAATAAAACGTGTCATTTTCTATATTAAAATGAAAATTCTTACATATGAATTACCCACTACTCTCAAAATTTGCACATTTTATTAAAGGTCTAGACCGATTATTTTCTGGTATTTCAAAATCCAAGATGGAGGAAGACACCCTATCTACCTTAAGACTATACATACCTCACAGGAAAACCATGAGAATGAATCGGTGTTCATGGTCTCTTTATAACGTCATATTTTATTTCGCCAGTTATTTTGAAATCTTCAGAAAAGATGTCAGGACTGGGTAAGGAGGCATAGAATTGTTTTCTGACACCTCGAGGACCATTTTAATTTGCATCAGCAACATATAATCATGATGCTGGTTCCGTAAATGAAAAGTAATTTCAGGAATGGAATATAGCTACAAAGTGATTATTAACATGTTTAATTTGTAAAATAGTTTTTAATTTAATTTATTACTTTAGTTTTATTTTTACTAGATTTACCATATTTTATTTTTGTAAAATTTTCGATGTGTACGCAATTGCGTTTTTGCGTACGGGTTGCTACGCGCCTGTAAATATTAATTATTTCAAATATAATAAATTGTTTCGCCTAGCGCAGCTGGATACGACCGCAGAGGTCCAACCCTGAACAGTTGGGGCAAAAATGGACACAATATTCGCGCTTGATACAGGTCTGAATTTGGATTGTAATTAAATATTTGACACATAATAGGTTTCTGACACAGAATAACTGTAGTCAAAGAACTTAGAATTGGTTATATGATTTGAATTTATATTCTATTTTTTGCTTTTGTGCAATACACAATACACTATGCTGTTGCGAATTGACCTCAAAAAAAAAAATTTACGCACCCCCCCCCCCCCCCCTTTTTTTTTTGGCAAAAAAAAAAATATTTTGAAGAAATTTTCTTTTTAAATTCTGAAATCTGAAATGAAAAAAAAATTTTACCCCCCCCCCCCCCCAAAAATTTTTTTTCACCTCCACTCCTCCCCTTTTTCCAAAAAAAAAAATTCTTTCCCTCAAGATATGGTCATTATCTCAATTCAAATATCCAATGGAGTTTGCAACCATAATTACCCATTTAAATACATCATAAAAGTCTTAAAATAAAAAATGACATACATAATCATGTCTAAAATTAATATTCCTTAATCAGCATTTTAATAGTAACTTTAAAAATAAATTGACAGCTAATCACCTCAAGACAATACAACATTTCTTTATACATAATTTAAAAGCAGTGTAAGGGAGGTAATCCAAACTTAACATTGTACTTAAAAGTAATTGTCCATTAACAAGGAAACCCTTGTTTTTCCCCCTTTTTTGTCCCTAATTCCAAAACGGTTTGAGCCATTAACCCCCAAAGCCAATCCTAACCATCCCTATGTGGTATGGAAACTTGTGGTATAATTTCAGAGAGATCCATACACCGTTCCACAAGTTATTGTCTGGAAAAATGCTTATTTGGGCCCCTTTTTGGCCCCTAATTCCTAAACTGTTAGGACCATAACCCCAAAATCAATCCCAACCTTCCTTTTGTGGTCATAAACCTTGTGTTTAAATTTCATAGATTTCTATTTACTTATACTAAGTTATTGTCCGGAAACCAAATTTATTTATCAAGATTACTTCACTGTTGTGAAACCTTATGATTCTGGGATTTAAACAAAATGTTCAGATTCATAAATAGTTTAGAATAATTTTGTTTTGAAAGTTTATAAAACAATTATAATAACCTGAGACATAATATATTGACTATAATAGTCCCTGAGTATTAACATGAATAAATAACCTGCAATTAATTGACCTTTTTATAATTTTGTTGTTTTAATGGTATATATAAAACTTTCTTGTCACTAAATTTGTCTTCTTGTCGATATATTTTTCTTGTCGCTAAAATTCTTCTATTAGGAATCCGGGTCTGTTCGCCCAAAAACATTTGCTCCCATTCACGTGCACCCCCTTTCACGTTCGCACCCTACATGTTTGCACCCAAGGTCCGTTTGCACCCTACACGTTCACACCCTTTTTGTTGGTTTTGTGTTAAATAACTTTTCAATGGTTTTTTGGTTAGTGTATTGCTATAAATTTTTTTTGTTCATTGTTTCAAAATGAAGTGACTTTCTAAAAATGATTTTTGTGTTGAATAATTTTTTAATCGTGTCTTGGTTATTGTATTGCTATAAATAAGTTTTTTTTTCATTGTTTCAAAATAAAGTGACTTTTTTTTGTGTTGAATATATTTTTAATCATGTTTTGGTTAGTGTATCGCTATAAATTTTTGTTTTCACTGTTTCAAAATAAAGTGACTTTCTAAAAAGGCTTTTTGTGTTGAATATTTTTTTAATGTTAAGATACCAAACCGCTATTAAACTCAACAACAATAACATTTTGAATCTTCATTGTTTTTACTCATACCAAGCTAAATACATGCAGAATTTACATCAAAGCTAGTAAAAACTACAATCACAATTTTCAAACACATACCATTACACCAACTTTAGCTGTGTAAACACCATATTAACAGTAATCATACATAATTAACATATAATAATTGATCATCAAATCAATTTAAAACAATATATTTCATTTAAAAATTCCCGAATTTTTATTTATGAAAATAGAAAAATTTTAATATAAACATCTAATAATTCATCAGGTTTTTGAATAAAAAAAAGGGTGCGAACGTGTAAGGTGCGAACAGACCTAGGGGCGAACATGTATTGGGCGCATACGGACCTGATACCGTCTATTAGCATGATTAGTGAGACCGGCTGTAGCACCTACATTTTTTGGTACCTAATATTATGTTTCATATGTAGCTTGTATGTGTCTTAATGTCAATGGATGATTTTGTCTCGTTCTACTATCATTTGTTAACAGTTTTTCCAGAGATATATAATACATAATGTATGATACATTGTACAGTTGTATACTATATCATATGTGACTGTCTCTGGATTTTCATATGAAATTATGGCCGTATTCTGCATTTGGCGTCATGACAATGCACATATTATGATCAATATAATTCCAACAATTGATATAACATACCAAAACAGGCAAAAACTTTGTTATCTCATTATATTATAAGGTGTATATTTAAATCGGTAAATTTCTGTTCTCTCAACCGGGCCGGAAGTGTTACTTCTATTGTAGTTTTCAACCCATATCGGGGGTACTCGGTTAAAGTGGTAACCCGAACCCGAACCCGAACCGGAATTTGCTGGAAATTTGCCGAACCGGAAATCTATTTTACATATATTATGCTCTTTGTATTTCTTTTTTTTCTACAAACGTGTATGCATTTGATGTATAATTAAATTTTATCTCTTGTAAGAAAAGGTTTTTGTCCAAACATCACTAACAATGATAAATTTAAGGTTTATTAATTTCCACCTCGGTAAAAGTGGTAACCCGAACCTGAAAGTTTTTCTTAAACCAAACTTTAATCTGCCTAAGTGTTTTAATTCGCTTTCTTATTTTATGTCCTGAATGTAATAATCTTTCATATTTTACTTAAAATTGTTCTTACAACTTTGCCGAAAACTTTTTATCGTGGAAATTCCAAAATAGGTCGCCCGAACCCGAAAGGGAGACAACTCCATTTTGTATTTGTATTTTGGGTCGATTATGACGCTACTGGTTAACTCGGCCTATACCAAATTCGGACCATAACTTCGGCCTATGATTGATGATTGTGTTTTTTTAATTATTATTTCTTTCTTCGGGCCAGGTGAGCTTTTCTCATCACTTGGCGTCCGTCGTCCGGCGTCCGGCGTCGTCCGTCGTCGTCCGTCGTCGTCCGTCGTCGGTGTTAACTTTTTACATTTTGAACTTCTTCTAGAGAACCACTGAATGGAATGAAACCAAACATGGCATGAATGTTCCTTATGAGGTGCTGACCAAGTGTTGTTACTTTGTAGCCGATCCATCATCCAAGATGGCCGCCAGCGGGGGACTTAGTTTAACATAGGACCCTATGGGAAATGCATACAAATGACTTCTTTTAGAGAACCACTGAATGGAATGAAACCAAACATGGCATGAATGTTCCTTATGAGGTGCTCATCCAAGTGTTGTTACTTTGTAGCCGATCCATCATCCAAGATGGCCGCCAGCGGGGGACTAAGTTTAACATAGGACCCTATGGGAAATGCATACAAATGACTTCTTTTAGAGAACCACTGAATGGAATAAAACCAAACATGGCATGAATGTTCCTTATGAGGTGCTGACCATGTGTTGTTACTTTGTAGCCGGTCCATCATCCAAGATGGCCGCCATCGGGGGACTTAGTTTAACATAGGACCCTATGGGAAATACATACAAATGTCTTCTTTTAGAGAACCACTGAATGGAATGAAACCAAACATGGCATGAATGTTCCTTATGAGGTGCTGACCAAGTGTTGTTACTATGTAGCCGATCCATTATCCAAGATGGCCGCCAGCGGGGGACTTAGTTTAACATAGGACCCTATGGGAAATACATAAAAATGTCTTCTTTTAGAGAACCACTAATGGAATGGAACCAAACATGGCATGAATGTTCCTTATGAGATGCTGACCAAGTGTTGTTACTTTGCAGTCGGTCCATTATCCAAGATGGCCGCCAGCAGGGGACTTAGTTTAACATAGGACCCTAAGGGAAATACATACAAATGTCTTCTTTTAGAGAACCACTGAATGGAATGAAACCAAACATGGCATGAATGTTCCTTATGAGGTGCTGACCAAGTGTTGTTACTTTACAGTCGGTCCATCATCCAAGATGGCCGACAGCAGGGGACTTAGTTTAACAAAGGACCTATGGGAAATACATACAAATGTCATCTTTTAGAGAACCACTGAATGGAATGAAACCAAACATGGCATGAATCTTCCTTATGAGATGCTGACCAAATGTTGTTACTTTGTAGCCGATCCATCATCCAAGATGGCCGACAGCGGGGGACTTAGTTTAACATAGGACCCTATGGGAAATACATACAATTGTCTTCTTTTAGAGAACCACTGAATGGAATTGAACCAAACATGGCATGAATGTTCCTTATGAGTTGCTGACCAAGTGTTGTTACTTTGCAGTCGATCCATCATCCAAGATGGCCGCTAGGGGGGGGGGGGGGGCTTAGTTTAACATAGGACCCTATGGGAAATACATACACATGTCTTCTTTTAGAGTACCACTGAATGGAATGAAACCAAACATGGCATGAATGTTCCTTATGAAGTGCTGACCAAGTGTTGCTACTTTGTTGCCGATTTACTGTTCAAGATGGCCACCAGGATATTTTATTAAATAACGGGACCAATATTAATCAAAATTTGGCCTCAATCATTATTTGGGTATCTGTTATGATTTTTATCAATCTTTACATGATTTCTAAAACCAAAGTAGAGTCGGGTGAGCGACACAGGCTCTTGAGAGCCTCTAGTTTCTATACAGTTTTTGTTTTTTCCAAATAGATAGAAGTATTAATTGTCTTAGTTTAATGGCTGTAATGTTGTTTTTTTTTTCCATTAATTTATGAAAAAATAAAACATTCAGTATTTAATGGTTATGGTTAAACCTAATAAAAAAATAAATAAAAGATTTTTTCCCCCAGAAATCGTAACTATCTGCTTGTTTTATGACATTAATGTATTCAATTTTTTGTTGTTGTTTATTTTGAGATTTAAGTGTGATTCCTCGAATTTTTATGTTTACTGATTTATATAAAACTTCTATAAAAATGAATTGCTTAATATATGCCGGTGATATTAATCTGTTATCCTCCACTGCAAAGGCCTCCAAGCTTAACTTAAGATAGAGATAGTAATGGCTGGTATCTGACCTTTTATGGTAGAGAAATCTGGGTCACTGTTAATTCAAATACAGCAAGATTACTATCACCATACAATTTATATTCACATCTAATAAGCGAAAAAATGCATGTACAGTTTTGTAAATATGTTTTAGGTTACATAAAAATAGTAAACGGAAAAGTCACAAATCCCTAGAAAAAATTCACAGAAAAAAGTCACAATATATGATTGAGTAAAATTTGATATAAGAATTAAGTAAAACTATGTTGGAATGCACATGATAAATCATTATGTACATGTAAGAAATAAACCATTAAAATGTTTTTTGAATGCATGGTAAAAAGTTGTAATACACTTGTATCAAATTAGTTATTGTAAAAGGCAGATTTTTAAATGTTTATAGGAAATATAAAAAAGAAGATGTGGTATGATTGCCAATGAGACAACCTGGTCATGTGTAGACCATATGACAATTTTCATACAAAAACTAATGTGACTTTTTCCCGGGACTTTGTTTCCTGTGACTTTTTTTTCCTGAATTTATAAAAATACCGCCAACTTTCCTGTATTGACAGAACTTGGTTATTTCCCACTATGATTTTATAAAAAATATTCTTTTATATTGGAACCGACTTGAGCATGTAGATAAATTTTTCTTGCTACAGAATGCATATGAATAAATCCGGAAATTATACAATTAATGCAAATCGTTTTGATATGGATCACTCCAACGTATACTGCAAAATGTTCCGATTGTTACCAAAAGGGGGATTTTATACCTGTTTTAACTATTATTAAAATTTGGGATAGAATGATTACACAGTTGCTATGTGTGTCGTCATAGAACTTCTTGCACTATCATGCGAATATCAGTTATTGTGATCAAAGTAATAAAATGCAAAATGAAGACAAGTTGAGATATGCTTTTTGTTTTAATTTTTAAACCTGAGTTTTAGGGTATTTAATTATTTCTGTTATATATTAAAGAAGTCGTTTGCTGTGCAAGATGTATAATGTATCTCACCGATTGTGCGACACCTTCATGGTAGAATTAGGACAATTAGGGCCATGGTATCAGCACTTTTTACAGCATTTCTATGAGGAGTCCATAGCACTATTGCCTTCTTCAAGGCAAATTTTCAGCCTCTATTGATCACATAATTGTTTTCAGTGGAGGTTCAAATTTCCAATCCTTCTTCCTGGTCAGCCTACATTGCTATAGTTATAGTTATTCGTTTGTTCTCGCAAAGGAACATCACTTTTATTGCTGTTCTTCATCTTAAATCAAAGTGAGGCCTTACACAAATTTTCTGCGAACTTCAATGTGATTTCTATTACATTTTACATATAAACATACAAATTGTCTGAATAGGCATATTGAACAGTTCAACTGTTCTGATTCTATTTAAAAGCATTAAAAAAATTCTTGGAAGACTTCAATGACTTATTTTATTATTTTTTGTTAATACAATATTCATTACACTGGATTAACATTTGTTATATACATAATTGGGAAATGTTATCTAAATAGAAAAGTGCTTTGTGAGTAAAATTGGTCATTAGGATAACCTCACAAATTATAATGGCATGTCCCATTCTATGCAGCATCTGAGCATCCCAATTTGAAGTGTCTCATAGTCATTGTACATATAAATGGTTGTCAATTCTCCTCAATTTGATTTTATTAGTAATTTAAAGTTAAGGATATTTTTCTAAAATTATGTGTTCACCTAAGAAAACATATTTGTTTTATATTCTTTTCCTAAGACCACAATATCTTTCCTTTTTTTGCTTTATATTTTTTTCCTACGAACAATATCTTTCCTTTTTTTGCTTTATATTCTTTTCCTACGAACAATATCTTTCCTTGTTTTGCTTTACATTCTTTTCCAACGAACAACATCTTTCCTTTATATTTATGTTTGCGGCAATAAGCGAAATTAGGCATTAAGCTTAAATCATAGGCAATAAGCTAACGCCTAGGCATTAAGCTATTGTCTGAAATTTCAAGGCATTAAGCTTATTTCCTAAAATCTGATGATGATTATTCAGCCAATTGCTTAACATCATTTCAGCCGCAATAAATGAAATTTGAGGTTTTGTTCTCATTATCAGTTTAGGCATTAACATTAATGCCTGGACATAATTTTCAGGATTTAGACTTAAATCCTAGGATTAAAGACTAATGCCTAACATTATTTAGGCAATAACTTAATGCCTAGGCAGTTTGTTTTCTCGTTTGAATTGTTTCACATTTGTCATTTTGGGGCCTTTTATAACTGGCTATGCTGTATGAGCTTTGCTCATTGTTGAAGGCCATAAGGTGTCT